GATGCTGATGATGTGGCTGCTGCTGATGATGATGCTGATGATGATTAAGCTGATTACGATGATACTGATGATGACGACGATTATGCTGATGATGATGACGATGATGAGGACGATGATGATGATGATGATGATGATGATGATGATGATGATGATGCTGATACTTAATTATACTGTCGATGCTGCTGTTGCCGCTGACGTCATGTTGATGCTGGTGCTGCTGCTGCTGCTGTTATTGCTGCTGATGCTGCTGCTGCGGATGATGATGATGATGATGCTGTGAAGGCGATGCGGATGGTATTGTTGATGATAATGATGATGGTCAGGATCATGCTGATGCAGCTCCGGCGGCTGCATCTGCGGCTGCTGATAGGGACGTTGAAGTTGATGATGACGATGATGTTGATGCTGATGATGCTGATGCTGCTGTTGATGACGATGATGATGCTGATGATGATGATGCTGATATTGACGATGCTGATGATGCTGATGATGATGATGATGCTGGCGATGATGATGATGATGATGATGATGATGATGATGATGATGATGATGATGATGATGATGATGATGATGATGATGCGTGTGCTGCTGCTGATGATGGCCATGGTGCTGCTGCTGGGGCTGATGCTGCTTGTGATGACGCTGGTAATAATGCTGAGGCTGATGATGCTGATGCTTATGCTGGTGCCACTGATGCTGTTGATGATGAGGACGATGCTGCTGATGCTGCTGATGATGCCGATGGTGATGCTGTTGACGATGATGATGATGATGCTGATGATGCTGATGATGCTGATGGTGCTGATGATATTGATGATTAGGATGCTGATCAGGCTGTGGATGTGGATGGGGATGAGATCATGCGGATGATGAGATCATGATGATGCTGATGATGATGATTGTGCTGCTGATGGTGATGATGATGAATCCGATTATGCTGATGATGATGAGTATGATGATGCCGATGCCGATGTCGATGCTGATGCTTGTGATGATGCTGGTGGCGGTGATGATACTGATGATGATGCTGCTGATGCTAATGGTGATGATGCTTATGCTGATAATGATGATGGCGATGGTGAGGTCGAGGATGACGAAGATGATGATTCTGATGCTGATGCTGCTGATGATATGATGCTGATGATGATTCAGCTGATGATGATGACGATGATGATGCTGATGATGATGCTGACGATGATGATGACGATGATGTTGATGATCATGCTGATGATTATGATTATGATGCTGCTGCTCATGATGCTGATGATGCTGCTGATGATTATGCTGACGATGATGCTGATGATGATAATGACGAACATGATGCTCATGATGATGATGCTGCTGACGATGATGATGAAGAAGAAGTTGTGATGACGATGATGATGATGATGATGATGATGATGATGATGATGATGATGATGATGATGATGATGCTGATTATGATGATGATGATGATGATGATGATGATGATGATGATGATGATGATGATGATGATGATGATGATGATGATGATGATGATGATGATGATGATGATGATGATGATGATGATGATGATGATGGTGGTGTGGTGGTGGTGGTGGTGGTGATGATGATGATGAGGAGAGGAGGAGGAGGAGGAGGAGCAGCAGGAGGAGGAGGATGAGGGAGGAGGAGGAGGAGAGGAGGGGAGGAGGAGCAGAAGGAGGAAGAGGAGGGGAAGGGAGGGAGGAGAGGAGGAGGAGGAGGAGGAGGAGGAGGAGGAGGAGGGAGGAGAGGAGGAGGAGGAGGAGGAGGAGGAAGAGGGGGGAGGAGCAGCAAATGAGGAAGGTTGAGGGCTTCCTGGGGGCCTCTCGTCGCCACGGCTGGGTTTGCGTCGAAGTGCTCGTCAGAATGCGCTCCAGAGCAGTTGCGGAGGTCGATTTCGAGGGGGGGGGGGAGGTACACTTGGCGGAGGAAGCAGAGGAAGCGTCGAAGAAGTGAAAGGGAGGGGTGGAGGGAGCTGAGGGGTGAGGGGTGCTCAGGGACGGATAGGAGGAGTCAGATACAGAGAGAGAGAGAGAGAAAGAGAATAAGAGTGAGAGAGATGGAGCAGTGGATGCAGACACAAAGGCCGCAGAGCAGCTTGCCAGCCGCAAGCGATGCCAGTGCACTTGATGATGCGGATTGCCCCTGTCATGTTCCCCCTTCCTGGCCCCTCGTGCTCTGTAACAGCGTGTGTCTACGAGGCCCCTGTCACCCAAATCCGTCGCCGACGCGCTTTCACTTGGCGGTGCAGGGTGCCTTGCTCTGATCGCCTGTTGATTCTTTTGCTGCGCATCATCATGATGGATGCCATGGTCGGTGGTCTTCTCTTGCCTTCGGTGACTTTCGCCCTGGCCTCGGCCCCTCGCTGGCAGCATGGGGCGCTCCCGTCATAGTTGACATCATCTTTCTCTCTCGAGTGGGCACGGGCAGTAATGATGTTTCGGATTAGGGCTGTCGTTCCAGCGCCAGCCATCTCCTGTAGGGTTGCGCGATGGGTGATAACCCTCCTCACTCGGTGGCTCTCGCTCGAGCTCCGGTCTCATCCTCAGCTCGAAATGGTGCTCTCTGCTCAGCCCTGGTTTCACTTCCAGCTAGCAGTGAAGCTCTGCTGATAGCCTTAGGCGCTTTTTGTTTATGATACTTGGGCCCCGGCCTCTCGACAGGTGCCCGAGTACGCAAGCGTGTTCGAGTCAACCGTTCGGGCTCCATGCAGGTTGTCCACCCAGTCAGCCTGAAAGTCAGTCATCCAGCTCCCTCCGGTGATCCCCGCCACCGTGCCTGCGTTGCTTTGAGCAGGGGAACGAAAGTCACATAAACATAAAACTCGGAGGTCCGTGCAGATTTCTCGGATCCGCGCTGGACCCCCTCCCTGGCGCGCGGAGCGCGATTTGGGGTTTATGTCCTTCTTCGTTCCCCTATTGGGATTCCTGAAGAAGGCTCCCGCCTGAGCTCTCCCGAGCATCTTCGATGGAGGGACCCGTTGGGGCCGGCTGGGGCCCTCTCGGGAGCTTTTCTGGGGTCCCTCGGAGGGCCTCTGGGCTTCGCGGTCGTCTTGCGCGTGATGGTTCTCTTGGCCCTGTTCGGGCGTGTGCATTTTTTTTAATTTCGGCGAGGACCATTGAGGAGCATCCTGATCACCAGGCAACAACAAACGCACGAACACGAAACATGTACAGGGAATGGACGTCCGAGCGATGGCAAGGACCCCACCAAGCTCTCCCAACGAGTCTCGGGTAGAACCCTCTTGGGTCTGTCTGGTCGAGGCTTGACACGGCCGAAACGCTTGGGGCGCGCAGTAACATCAGAAGCGCAGTTTTCCAGCGCCTTTTGGCCTCCGAGGCACTTGCTGGAGGGCTCCTTGGCCGACTCTTGGGGGATCACTCGGGCCTGCCAGTGCCCGTCGGGGACATCTTGGGGGCCTCTGCAGGGTCTCTGGGCCGTCTCAGACCAGTTCTGCAGCGTCTCGCAGCCGTCTTGGGGCCGAGCTGGGCCGTCTTTGGTTTTTTCCTGGGCCCGTAGAGGGCGCCAGAGAGCAGGCCACAGTGGGGACAGCCTTCGAGCCTTGGGGGGTGGGGCGGCGCGACGAGGTCAGCAAACTACAGATCCCCCCCCAAGCAATTGGCAGGCATTCCCGCACGCCCTAGCGTGCCGCCGGCACGGTGGTGGATTCCGCTGGTCGTGCCACCTTGTGTTGCTGCTCGTGATGTTGTTGCCGCTGTGTGTCGCAGTTCCATGCCCCTGCGCTCGTGCTGTTGCTGGTTCTCTGTGCCTTCGGGTGCTCGATGCTGCCCCGCGCCTGATGGGTTGATCTGTCCAGACAGTCGTGCCAATTCTGTTCAGCTGAATTTCGCACAGATCAGTACCCTTAGTTGTGATACGGTCACCTTGATTGTCATTTCGACTGATTCATTAGCTGCCCTTTGTTTCGCGTGCCCATTACGTCCTGCTCTCCTCGAGAGACTACCTGAACACGATTGGCCCATCTCCCGTGCGGCTTGTCGTAGCCACTTTGGCTGGGAGGAGTCAGGGGCGCTGGGTTGCTTGGTCTGGCTGCGCAGCTTGCTTTAGGCAGGCAGGAGGCTGGACCTGGCTCAAGGGGAAGCGCGATGTGCCGAGCAACGGGGCAATAGGGTTCTGGAAGTTCCTGCTTCCCCCTCCCCTCCCTTCCCTCCCTCCGGCCCCACTCCCCCGGATTTCTCCTTCTCTCCCCAAGCCTTTATGGTTCGAGGCTGGTGCAGGGCAGTAGCGGCACTGTCTGACTGTAATTCCCAGCTTGCAGCCAATTGTCCATATTCAGTAGCGGACGGACGCCAACTCACTGTCTGGTGTGGGCAACCGTGGGCAGCGTGGTCCGGGTGTGGGCCAGGAGGGTGGCCCCGGCGGTCGCGGCGGTGGCCACGAGTGCGACGTGCGTCGGCACGCCTCCCTTAACGTGGACAAGCTGGCGATCAAGAAGACATGGTCAGGTCCGAGGTCATTCAGATGATCAACCTCAGCGATCCAGTCTTGACAGTGCATGCTTGCGTGGCGTTCCGCCTGTGCCAGGCTCATGTGCCCAGCGGCGTACCAGCCTTTTGCAACTCGGCTTCCCGTGCTCTCGAAGTTGCAGGCAGGAAGGCCCCGTGCATGACAGACTGAATGCCAAGTGTCTGCGTCGGGAGGCAGATGGATTACCCAGTTGACATCCCAGCGGACCTCACTGGCAGCACCAGTAAGCTGTCTACGTGGAGATGGCTCTTGGAGACAAGATGGGTGGTGGCATTGTCGACAGCTGCCGTCTCGCTGGCTGCGAGCCCAGCCTGCAGACAGCGACGGGATCACCAAGACGGACAAGCAGAATCCTCTCATCAAACGCGCCAGCGGCACGAGTTGTATGCTGGCGCTTGCTGCCATCAAGGTGTGCGATCTTCGATGGATGTCGTGACCCTCTGGCGGTTTCTCCATGAGCTGGGGCCCATCGACCAGATCAAGGGCATCCCTGTCGGCGGTACCCTCGAGCTCGGCGGCAAGCTGGCCGCACTGCGATCGGGGCCCTCGGCGCGTAGAGGCTGGCGTGCGACCGCATGCCCATCTGAGCTCACCCAGCGCCTCCCCTGCAGAGAGCGAGCCTCGAGCAGAGGGCACCAGAAGGCAGCAGCATACACCTGCATGGCCAGGATCTGATTGGCGTTGCCGTGCCGCTTGCGCTCTCGGCGCCTCCCCGCCTGCGGCCGCGGCTCTCTCCTCTCCGCTCTACCTCTCTCCTGGCACGGGGCGCAAGCGCGTGGCCTGCCGAGGAGCGTGTGCTTGCAGCATCGCCCGCCGAGGGCAACCCGGGCGCTTACCATGACAGTCATTTCTGCGGATGCCACCGATGTCTCCTCGTCGTGCGCCTAGTTGGCGTGCGCTTGCAGTATGCGACCTGCGCCGGTGCGTCCTCCCCACTTCCCCCTTCCCCCTTCTCCCTGGCCTATTCCCCTTCCCCTCTTTCCCATTGCCTGGTTCCTGTGTCCCCAATCCACCATTCCCTTTCCTCCTTTCCCCTTTCTCTTGTTCCTTTTCCCGATGTCCCCTTTGTCTTTCCCCTTTCCTCTGTCCTCTTTTCCCCTGTCCCCTTTGGTCACCCTTTCTTTTCGAACAGTGCTTGCTCTAAGGTGCTCCTGCATTGTTCAATGTGGTTGTTCTTTCTGGGGTTTTCGGCCAGTCTGTCCCGTCGCCGCCTCGTCGCCGCCTTGTGCGCTGGCGTTTTTTTTTTTTTGTGTGTGTGTGTGTTGTTTCTTTTGTTATGTATGTATGTATATATATATATATTGTCCAGTCGCCGCACATCGCCGCCCTGTCGCCCAGTTCGTTGGCTGGCCGTTCTCGGTGCACACATCGCCTGCGTAACACGTATTGCATCATGTACTACTGCACCACATAGCTTGCGCCACACAGCGCGCAGCGCACATATTGACCACCATAGACTGCACCACACGTATTGCACCTCATAGCTTGCATCACATAGCCTGCAGCACGTAGTTCGTCTACCATAGGTTACACCACGCATATTGCACCACGCAGACTGCATAACGCAGGTTGCACCACATCGGCTGCAGTCTATGGTTAGTGCCGCATCTGCTGCATCCCATGTGATTGCACGACATGTGTTGCACCGCATGCATTGTCCCGTAGATTGCACCACCTGGAGATCGAGAATGCATTAACTCACTGTTTGAGGTCCACGCTGACAAGACATTCCCCATCCCTTTTTGTTTTGCTTCCCCTTTCCACTTCTTTCCGCTTTCCCTTTTCCCGTTTCTCTTTCCGCTTCCTTTTTTGCCTCTCCATGTCGTCTCTCCCCTCCACCCTTGCGCCCTTCTCCCTTGCCGACCTCCCCCTCTACCAATCTCCCAACCTTTCCAACCTCTCCAACTGGCAATGCCGCCACCGTGCCAGCGCAGCATCATGGGTGGCAACTGTTCGAGAAGCCAGGGAGGCCTGCTGGGGGCCTCTTGGGGCAGAAGGCTCGAATTCTGGGTTCGTGTTCCCAGTTTTAGGCCTATACTGGGGCCGTCTTTGAGCCCTCTCGGGCCGTCTTGGTTTCTCTTGGGCGCTTCTGGAGCCGTCTCGGGGGAGCCTTGGGGGCCTCTTGGGCCGTCTTCGAGCGTCGGAAGCTCGAAAAGGCGAGAACCCTACAAACATCGAAAAGCTACGGGAAATCAATGGTTTTTGCCTCTCGGGCCCCTCTTTGGGGCCTTTCTTGGGCCTTCTTGGGGCCTCCTCGGCCCTCCTGGTGCGGAAGGCTCGAATGGTCGGCTCGGGTTCGCCCTCTCGGGTCTTTCTCTTGGGGCCGTCTCGGAGCCCTCTTCTTCGTGCGAAGCAGAACCTGTGAAGTGGGCACGGGCTGGAGGTTCTGGATCTCTCGAGCTCTCCACCGCCTCTGGCGGTGTGCGTTGCGAGCAGGAACGCAGCAAAGCCACAGGAAAGCGCGGCATCGACAGTGTAGCTCCGCACACGCGACACATGTTAACGAGCAGGAGCGCAGCAGAGCACCAGGAGAGCGAGGCATTGACAGTGCAGCTCAACATGGCGTGCTCTAGCTCCGCAGCGCTCTCGCTGCGGGGCCTCTCCCCGAGTCCTTCTCGGCCCCGGGGGCGGCCTCGGGCCGCGGACCTCGCCGGCGCCCGGCCCGCCCGCGCCGGCTCCCCCCTCCGAGAGGGGCTGCCGGCCACGGCGGCCCCGGGCTCGGCCCGCGCCCCAGCAGCAGGGGAGGAGAAGCCGGCCTTCGGCGCTTCGTGGGGGAGCCGCGCCTTCGGCGCTCCGTGCGTAGCCGTTCCGCTTTTAGCCAGCGTGTTCCACAGGTGCTCTCGAGTGAGGGAGTCTAAAACATATCATTGTATTGGTCGCACGATGTCTCGCGATGCTGACAGTGGTAAGCGGAGCGTGGTTTGTGAATATCCTCGTGAAGGTATGGCGTTAGATCTCTCCCGCTCCAGGGCACCCAGCAGGACAGCTGGCACGTTCAGGGGCGCCGGCTCCAGAACTACCTGGGGAAGGTCAGATTCAGGGACCTCAGATCCGTGGTTTCACGGGTTCGACCCTTGGCAATCAGGTCATGGAACGTTCGTGGAGACGGGCCCAGAAGGCGAGAAGCCTCCTGGTCCAGCAGCGGAAGCTCCAGCGGGCTGCGGGGCTGCGGGGTCGGGCGGCAACAACCTAGACGCGGGCCAGCACGACAGCAAGCCCGACGACAAGCCCGACGGCCGGGATTGGTGGAGTTCTGGGGCGTGGGGCTGGACAGCCAAATTGGTGTGGGAGTGGTCGCCTGGTTGGTGGCAGAGCTCCAGGACCGACGAGGACGTGGCCTCCTGGAAGTCCGAGGACTGGAAGAAGGTCGACTGGAAGGACAACGCCTCGGACAGCAGTAGGCCCAAGGACGAGCAAGGACGTGGCGAAGACGGCAGGTATCGAGACGGTCGAGGCGGTGGCAGCTTATGGTGGTCCAGGTCGTGGAATACCAGTTCTTGGGATGAGGAGAGGTCCAGACTTGCGTGCATGGACGCGCAGAACGGCCTTGAAGACCAACTTGCAAGCAGATCGGGTGCTTGAGACGTTTCCTCTCGAGCTCCAGGCCAAATTTAAGACCATCAGGCCATCTCTCGCCACAGATTCTGGAGTGGATAGGATAGTAGATCATTTGACCTGTTGTCGGGAGAGAGACCCGGCGACAAAGATCGGCAGATGCAAAACGAATGATTATTCGACTACGTTATCAAGAAAGGCGAAAGCCTGACAGATTACGTGATAAGGCGTGGTGGACAAATGCTGCAGGCAGAAAGCGCTGGTCTTACTCTCACGGACTCTATCAAAGCTCGCTATTACGAAGAAGGTGCAATGCTTTCTCATCGAAGCCGCATCAACCTCGCAACACTTGCTTCGGGCAAGATTGACTTCTTATCTATACGGACTGCTCTTCTCAATCTAGACGTCTCGAACGGACAGGCTGTGCTTCCGACAGCGGCGACCTCATCCAGACCTCCGGGAAGGACGTATATGCAAGAACAAGAGGATGATATGACGTCCGCGGCGGAAGCCGACACGTTCCTGGACATCTTCGAGACCGAGTTTAGCGAGTCCGAGGCGGACGGCTTTCTGATAGCGCTAGATCGGCAGGACTTCACGGAAGACGAAGCCTATCACGTATTTGCCCAGCTCGTGGAGACCAAGCGTAAGCGCACCTGGGAGGAGTCAAAGGAGATGAAAAACGCTCGTCGCATAGATCGAAACTTCTTCGATAGACGTCGTGGCAAGAATATTGGCAACAGTGAATTAAAGAAAAGATCCAGATGCACAAACTGCGGACAGAAAGGCCATTGGAAAGAGGACTGCCGTAACGCTTACAGGTCAAAGGAGGACCGACTCAAGGAGGAGCGCAAGCCGCAGCCGAAGCCGGACAAGACCAACAGTTTCTATTTCAACGCGCGCGGCTTCGACGGCCCCGCCTTCCTCGCGGTGGCCGAGGACGAGTGCCAGATCTACGACGACGATCTTGTTGACGGCGCGTGGCTGCCCGAATGCGCCGAGCAGCTCGAGCTCGTTCTCGCCGAGGTCTCGCGGGAGTTGACTCTGGACAACTTGATGGACTGCGCTCTCGTGGGCGCTGCTGCGGGATCGGCTTTGGTGGGAGAGCCGAATCTTGAGACGCTCAGGAAGGCACTGAACCACATCGGCTACGAAGTTCACGTGGCCTACGACGTGGCCGATCTGCCTCTTGCCTGCGGGGTTGGAGGCAAAGTCAAGCCGGTTGGGCGAGCTTCGGTGCCCGTCACGATGTGCGGATGCGGGGTGGTGGAATTCCTAGTATTACCACGCGCGTGCCCACCACTCTTGCCCGCTAAGTTCTTAGAGTTTCTCAAGGCCAAGGTCGACATGAGTATGGACATGATGTCGGTCGAGGTCGGCGAGGGTCGTCGAGATCGTGAGCTACACCGTCTGCCATCAGGGAGGGCATCGTGCAGTATCGCTGGTGGGCTGCCCGCCCGAGGATTTCAAGCTCAGCGACGAGCTCGCCAGGCGCTTCCCGCCCTTCGTCATTCAGGACCGTAGGGAGGGACAGGGCGCCGCTTTCGCTAGTCAGATCTCTTTTCCCCCTCCCTCTCTCTCTGTCTCGACAGCGGGTCCACGGATCGGGGGCCCCAGATGGGGCATCACCGTCAGTACCCTTAGCTACTCTAGGCTCGAGCCGAGCCGGCGATTCAGAAAGTCAGTTTTCAAGTCTGCTCAACCAGTCAGATAACTCTCAGAGTCAGGCAATCGATGCCGGCTCGCGCGATCAGGAAGACGAGCTCGGCGGTGCATCCGCTACGTCGAGGCCCTCGCTCGCTGTCGGCTCTGCGGCGCCAGACGAGCAAGGTGGTGAACGGTCTCTCCACGGTCGAGGAGGAGGGCAGCTCGGATCTCGAGATGGCCGAGAACTGGGAGGAGATCCCAGACCCGTGGCGCGACACGGAGCTCCAGCACCTGGTGTACGACGAGATGCTCGATCTTGTGGACCAGGAGATGTTCTTCGAGGGCCGCTACCTCATTGAGAAGGCTGCCATGGCTTGGCGCCGCGTCTTCCTCAAGACGATCATGTTCCTCAACGTGTGCGCCAACTCTCGGATCATGGCCGCACTGTCGCCGGTGGTGGGCCTGAACCAGTTCGAAGACGAGGGCCCCAACGTGACTCCGGACACGTGCGAGCATCCAGTGCGCCGCCGTCGCACCGGGCAGAACGGAGTAGCTCACTACTGCCATTGCGATGTGTGCAACCTCCGTCTCTGGATCCGCCTCAAGACCCCTCGGGAGATCTTCGAGGCAGCTCAGGCTCGTGGCC